AGAAAAGTAAAAGGTATACAGAGTATATCAAAACACGTGAAACTGTCAGTTTGTATGATTCTGCAGATAGATACTCCTAAGGAACTCCTAGAACTAATACAGGAACTTAACAATGTGGCAGGACACAAGAGCAACAGACAAAACTCAATGAGCAATTTAGAAGTGAAATTAAGAAAGCAGTTCTGCAGTGTGGTGGTGCATGCCTGTAATCCCAGCACTCAGGAGGCAGGGGGCGAATATCAGGAGTTCAACATTATCCTCAATTACATAGTGAGTTCAAGGCCAGCCTAGGCTCCATTAAACTGTCTTCAAAAAAAAAAAAAAAAAAGAGGAGGAAGAGAAGGAGGAGGGGAGGAAAGGAGGAGAATCAGTTTCAGGCTTGGAATATGGCCTGGTGTTAGTGTTCGCCTGGCATATGTGAGGTCTTTGGTTCAAACCCTGACATGGCAAGGAAAAGAAAAATAAAATAATTCAATTTATAATAGCATCAAAAAGAATAAAATATTCACAAATGAGTGTAACAAATGATATGTAGGATTTGTATGTGGAGAACTACAAAACAAGTTGAAAGAAATCAAAGACCTAAACAAATGGAAAGACACTGTAAAACAGCACTGCTAAAATGGCAGCAAAATTGATCTATAGGTTCACCACAATCCTTATCAAATCCCAGCTGTTTTTTTAAATGTAAGTAAGCAAACTGTCCTAGTTTGTTTCTCCATTGCTGTGACAAAACACTCCGACCAATACCAACTTGGGGAGGAAAGGGTTTATTGGGCTTACATCTCCCGGGTCACAGTTCATCAGGGAGCCCAAGGTAGGAACTCAGGGCAGGAACCTGGAGGCCGGAGCTGGAATACAGGCCATGGAGGAACACTGCTTACTGGCTTGCTCCCCTGGCCCCTGCTCAGCCTGCTTTCTTATGCAACACAGGCCTACCTGCCCAGGGGTGGCACCACCCACAGTGGGCTGGGCCCTCTCACATTACTTAACAGTCAAGAAGATGCCCCATGGACATGGCCACAGGCCAGTCCAATCATGGCAATTCCCCAACTGAGGCTCCCTCAACCCAGGTGTGTCAAGTTGACACTAAAGCTGTCTAGCACACAAACTAATCCTAGAATTCCTATTGAGATGCAATGGGCTGGGGTAAGGCTCAGTGATAGAGCACTTGCCCAGCATATTGCAGGGGTGGGGGTGGGTGGAGTCTGGGTTCTGTCTGCAGCACCACAAAACATGAAAACCCTCACAAAAACCTCAAACCCTGACAGAACAAAAGAATTGTTCTAGAATAACCAACAGCATTTTTTTTTTTTTTTTTTTTTTGTTCTCCTGTGCTGTAGATAGAACCCAGGGTCTTTCTACCTCTGAGCTATACATACACAGCCCAACAGTCTCAACAAAAGAATGACATTGTCAGGTTTAGTAGTACACATTTTTAATCCCAGCACTCTGGAGGCAGAGGCAGGCAGATCTCTGTGAGATTAAGGACAGCTTGGTCTACATAGTGAGTTCTAGGTCAGCCAGGGTTACACAGTGAGACCCTGTCTCAAAAAAAAAAAAAAAAAAAGTTGAAAGACTTACACTACCTGATTTCAAAATTCACAAACTGACCATGGGCTGAGGAGATGGCTGACTGTTAAAGCACTTGCCATCCAATCAGCAAACATGAGTAAATGCCTGGTGGGTGGGCGGCCTGCCTGTAACTCCAGTGCTCTAAATGCAAAGACCCCTGGAGCAAGGTGGTTAACTAGAATAGCTATAGTTGTGAGCTCTGGGTTTAAGTGAGAGACTGCCTCTGTGAACATGGTGGAGAGCAATTGAAGAAGACTTCCCATGAGCCGCTACACACACCTTCATGTGTATATGCATACCTGCTTGTACACAACCAAGGGAACATTCATATGTACATGTCTGTATACTATACACAAATGTACACAAGAAAAAAGAGGCTGGCAGGGATCAAGCTGGTGTGGCTCTGGCATGGGGCCAGGTACACAGACCAGTGCAAGGGTTTAGCATCCAGAATGATGCTTGCTGCTGTGCCAAATGGACATGCACATAATGAGTTTGGACACCTTCCTTCCACATTACACAAAAATGTTGCCCAAGAGCTAAACCTTCTAATTGGACATCTATGGCAAATCTTGTTGACTTTGTGTGGTTGTTTCTTAGATACACCACCAAAAATATAAGAAACAACAACAACAAAACAGACTTTCCAAAATTGAAGACCTTTATGAAGCAAAGGACACAATACATAAAAAGGGAAAGACTAGAATTAAAGAACTTTCTTGAAGACCATGTATTAGATATGTTCCTTGTTCCCTGTAGGGTGAGGACTGGTTCCAGCAGTAGTGTGAGCAGTGGGAGGGATCACCTGTCAGACTACCACCTCCTTTCTCATCTGACAAGCAGCTGATACCCAGAATTTGTAAAGGACTCTTACCACTTAACAATGAAAACACAAGTTCTCAGTTTTTTAAAAATGGCAAAGGATCTGGTAAGATGTCTTAGCAGGTAAAGGCACTTGCTGCCAAGACTGAAAGCCCAAGTTCAATCCCCAGGACCTACATGGTGGAAAGAAATAATTGATTCCCACACATTGTCCTCTGATCTTCACACAAGCACTGTGGCATGCACACACCCACATAAAAAAAAAGTAATGATTTTTTTTTAATTGGCAAAGGATTTGAATAGGCATTTCTCCAAAGAAAACAATCAAATGGCTGATAAGTGTGTGGAAGGCGGCTCAGCATCTCCAATCATTAGGGAACCGCAAGTTAGAGCCACAGTGAGGTGCCACCTCAGCCCTCACCAAGAAGGCTGTAAACAAAACAACACAGTAACAAGGGAAAACTTGCAGCCCTCAGACACTGCTGGTGAGAGCATAAATTCATGCATCCACCCTGGAAGATAGTTTTGGCAATTCCTGAAAATGTCAAGCAATTCCCACGCAACCCAGTAATTTCACCCTTATGTGTGTGCCTAAGATAAACGATAATATATGTCCACATCAGGATGTTCACAGCAGTACTATTAATAATAATAGCCCCAAGTGGAAATAACCCAAATGTTTACTCATTGATGAGTAGATAAATAAAAAATGTGTTCTATTTATACAATGGAATATTATTTCTCAGTAAGACACAATGAAGAATTCAGGCATGGTTGCGCATGCCTGTAATCCCAGCACTTAGGAGGCAGAAGCAGGCAGATCTCTGTGAGTTCGAGGCCACCCTGGTCTACAAAGTGAGTTCCAGGCCAGCTGGGGCTACAGGGAGACCCTGTCTCAAGGAAAAAAAAAAGACACAATGAAGAACTGATAGATACAACATGGATGAACCTTAACATACTAAGTTAAAGAAGTCAGTCACAAGTGGGCATGCCAGCACCCAACCTACAATTCCAGGACTGGGGAGAATGAGGCAGGAGAATTATGAGTTTAAGGCCAGCCTAGGCTGCTTAGTGAGATCCTGTCTCAAAAACAAACAGAAAACCTCCAAACAAAAACTAAAACAAAAAACCAAAAATGAAACAAAAAAAGCAAACAAACTAGCCAGCTACCAAGAATGCGTATTTTAGAAACTCACTTATACGACAAGGAGGGGAGATAATGGTGGCACAGTGCCTGTCTTCCTGCTGCACAAGTTGAAAAGAGGCACACACCCATGTGAGATGCAGATACAGTCCAGAAGAGCACAAGATTATGTGGCAGGGCAGAGTTTGGAAGCTCATAAGATCATAATTTTAAACACTGAGCAGGCTGGTACACACCTTTAATCTTAGCACTTGGGAGGCAGAGGCAAGTGGATCTCTGTGAGTTCTAAGCCAACCTGGTCTATGTAATGAGTTCCAGGCCAGCCAGGGCTACATAATGAGACCTAGTCTCAAGAACAAGCAAGCAAGAAAACAAACAAACAACATAGCTTTAAAGAGAAGACCAAAGTTTCTGCTTGTTAGATATGCATATGGATACATACAGGTATAGTTCCATGTATATGTATATGTATTTTATATATAGTACATATCTGTGCATATCTAATTGTATATATCTATAGTTATTTATACATGGGGGGGCTGGAGACAGAATCTAGACAAACACTACCATTTAGCTGTACCCCCAACCACATAGTAGTGGAAACTGTATGTCTACAAAAGGAATAAAAATATGAAGATACTACCATGTAGGGAGATATTATTTAGTCATTTGGTAATAAAGGAAAAATGTACTGATAAAGGCAAAGATGAACAAGGCAGGGTTAGAACAGTCTGCTCATGTGAAACAGAAGGAACAAGCACACTTAGTTCTCCAGTTGATAGAATTGTGGGGTCTCCCTATGTCTCTCTGCCTCTATCTTTCTGCCCCTTCTCATGTTTCTGTATTGTCAGTGCATGTTTCCCTTTGCTCTAGGGCTGCTGGAGGAAGCAGGGCTGCAGAGGTGGCTTTGGAGAGGTGAAAACAGACCAGTGCAGAAAGAAAAGAGGCTGGGGGGTATCCTGGTGTCATGGAGACAAGCAGTCTGCAGGCTAAGTGACATCTATGGGGCTGAAGGGGCAGAGGCGAAGGAGACCTCAGCAAGAAAACCTTGTTCCTTCTGGAGCTGTAGGAGGTTAGATTTTTAAAGGCACAGGAAAGCAGTCTATAGATTTTGGAGTCTTGTAGACTCCTTCAAACCTGGTTCCCATTTACAGCTGAGCAGCCTTGGGAACTGTTTAGCACCTCTGAACCCTTCTCCAAACTTTCGTTTCTCCATCTTTTAGATGAGAACAATTCCAGAAACACTAGATTGGTGTTTGGACTCAGTGAGCTCATACATGGCAGGCATTCTTCACAGCCCTGGAACATGTGCATGCTAACTTGATGAGGGCTGTTGCTCCCTCATGTTGTTGACCATGCACAGCAAGCAGCTTTGCACTAAGGAGGGACAAGTATCCAGATCCTTTAGTTTGGAAGCAGGATCTCTGAGATGTTTATTCTGTGCTCTTCTCATCCCTAGCTGTCCCCTCTGCCACCATGAGGAACATCTTCAAAAGGAACCAGGAGCCCATCGTAGCTCCTGCCACCACCACTGCCACAATGCCAGTTGGACCTGCTGACAACTCTACAGAGAGTGGAGGTGCTGGGGAGAGCCAGGAGGACATGTTTGCCAAGCTGAAGGAGAAATTATTCAATGAGATCAACAAGATTCCCTGTGAGTGGCCTGATGGCCGAGAGGGTGGCAGGCTAGCATCTGGGAGGCCTGTGGGAGGACAGAACAGAGGAGTGGGAGCTACTAGGATGGCACTGCCTGGGCTCTTTTCTTGGGTCTCAGCCTGGATTCTTCAGCCCATTAGGCATGGGTTGGGAGTGTGGTCTGGAACTAATGAGGCCACTAAGGGTTTGTATTACATGCCATATACTACAGGGTGAAAGTTAAGTACAGCTTTAAAAACCTGCCAAAGGGGCTGGAGGCATGGCTCAGCAATTAAGAGTCATATTGCTCTTGTAAAGGATTGGAGTCTGGTTGCCAGCACCCACGTCGTGTGGCTTACAACAGCCTGTAATTCTTGCTCCAGGGGATCTGACGCCCTCTCTGGTCCCCACAAGCACCTGCGCTCACTCACACACACACACACACACACACACACACACACACACACACACACACACATGCTTATACATAATTAAAAATAAAACAAATCTTTAAGAAACTGCCAAAGATGAAAACAAAAGATGAAAAATTATGAAATATGGATCATTATCCAGGTTTTCAGTAACATTTTGAAATTGCTTTATTTTGGACTGTGGAAAATGAAAGCTTTTGGAATTTCTGGCAAAGGCTATCTGTGGGGAACACCAGGGGTCCTGTTTGCAGGAGTTACCGCAGCAGCAGGACCTGGTGCTTCAAGGACAACTGAGAGCAGCTGTGGGCCTATCCCTAGATCCTTGGGCTGTGCAAAGCCAGTCTTCTAGATGGATCAGAGCTCAGGGAGCCTTTCTGCCTCTGGGTTGAGGACTATACCTCAGGGTCGGGGGCCATAGGGCTCCTCCTCCCCTTGGGTGTGATGAAGATGAGCCAAAATAAGATCAAAATAACTGAAATTCTATATATAGATCCAAACTGCTCTTCCATATAAACTCCTGGTTATGATCCCAATAGGCTCTGTCCACAAGGGCAGTAGATAAGGAAAGAGTGAGGTATTAATATGCTTCATGGATATGTGGATTAAAATATGGGCGGGGGGTCTGGAGAGATGGCTCAGCAGGTAAGAGCACTGGCTTCTCTTGCAGAGGACCTGGGTTTGGTTCCCAGCACCCACATGGTGGCTAACAACTGTCTGTAACTCCATCTCAGGGGATCTGATGCCCTCTTCTGACCTCTGTGGGCATTGCATGCATGGGTGCACTTACATACATGCAGACAAAACACTCCAATACAAACATTTTTAAAAATACGGGCAGGGGCTTTTGCGGAGTCACGGTCCCAACCCATGTGTGCCCATGCTATCGGAACAGGGCCTATGAGGCCCAGTGTGCTGACGCTGGACTCTTCTTGGTGTGGGCAGTGCCACCCTGGGCTCTGATTGCCATCGCTGTGGTCGCTGGCCTCTTGCTGCTCACCTGCTGCTTCTGCATCTGCAAGAAGTGCTGCTGCAAGAAGAAGAAGAACAAGAAGGAGAAGGGCAAAGGCATGAAGAATGCCATGAACATGAAGGACATGAAGGGCGGTCAGGTAGGGCACTGGGGAGGGGCTGGAGGGGCCCTGCACAGCTTTCCTGATGCTGAAAGGTGAGGCAAAGGCTTCTGGGATTCCACAGCCAAATCACTCCCCTCTTCAACCAGCTGCTCCCTCTGTACTCTCTATGGGTCCCAATGGCTTCACCTCTGTATAAGGTCATCCATCCACCAGTTGGCGGGAAGGGGACTTACATGGCAGCATGAACTCATCCTTGAAAAGGCAAAAGAAGGGACCAATGTATGGAGGCCACTGAAACAAAAGTGCTGGAAAGAGAGACACCTCTGGGTAATACTGAGTTTTCCTGCCAGGAGCAGATGAATCTAGCTGAGGTGGGTTGGGGACTCAGATGAGGCAGGGGGAAGGTCCTAAGGCAGCAAGACTGGACCATATGGCATCCATCACTAATCAGATAATGATGTATTGACCTTTTGATATTGGCATTTCAACAGGCTCATTGGCATATCAATCTCTCCTCTGTGCTTCGCATTCCCCTGTTGTTTACATGGGGAGGGACTGGGAAAGATCTTTTTTCAAAGAATCATAATGAAGGATGGAAAGAGGGACTGGCCTCAGGAAGCAGCCAGGGGCCTGATGGCCTTTGAGTGCTCATGTGTCTGTGTGCTTTTGTGGGTTTCAAAGGAGCCTGCAGAGAGGTGTGTGTGTGCATATGCATGCATGGTGTGTGTGTGTGTGTGTGTGTGTGTGTGTGTGTTGTCCCTGTACTTGTGTGCTTGTATACATATGTGTGCACTTAGCACAGCCCAGCCTGGCTTCACCAGGTAGCCATGACTTCAGGACTAACTTGAGTGAAGGATTTCTTTCTTATATCACTTTCTTCTCTTTCTGCCTCTGTGGACTTGCCTTGCTCCTGGCTGGACTGCAATCCTGGTATGTCATCTAGGCTTGGTGAATCTGAACTGGGCAAAGGATTGAAAGGGTCTTACAAGAGAAGCGAGTCCCCTTACCTCAAGAAGCTGTAGCACCTGTCCCCCACAGGAAGAAGGAAGACTTTGCCTGAATCAGGGCTGTGTCTTTCAAATGTGGGGCTGGGTCTACTTGGGGGTCCTGATTGGCTGTGGGGGCAGAGACCCTGCATATGGCATATTCCCTTCACCTGGCTCCAAGTCAGGATCTGGGATGGCTTCTGTTGTTGCTATGTGGGGTTGCTGCTCTGCTCCCCACTTACAACTCATTCTTCCTACCCCCAGCTCCTCAGGATGACGATGATGCAGAGACAGGCCTGACTGAGGGAGAAGGAGAAGGGGAGGAGGAGAAAGAGCCAGAGAACCTGGGAAAACTGCAGTTTTCTCTGGACTATGATTTCCAGGCCAACCAGGTGTGTGCAGTTGGGGAACAGAGTGGGGATCAAAGTGGTTATCCTGGAGACATGTATGTCTTATACCTTTCCATGGAGTGGGACTGGTTAGAAGCCACAGGGCATATATCCCTGGAATTAGGAATTGGACCATTAGTCTGCTCTGGGGACAGTTTCATGTGAACCCTGCTATTAACTTGCTTGCTGAACCTGGCCCAGCCCTTCACCCCAGGCTTCCTCTCTGGGAGGGGTTGGCAGCCAGATCTTGGCCAGATCTGGTGCTAGAGCAGACTAGAGACTCAGGCTTCCTTCCCCTTTCCACAGCTCACCGTGGGTGTCCTACAGGCTGCTGAACTCCCTGCCCTAGACATGGGGGGCACTTCAGACCCTTATGTCAAAGTCTTCCTCCTCCCAGACAAGAAGAAGAAATATGAGACCAAGGTGCATCGGAAAACACTGAATCCTGCCTTCAATGAGACCTTCACTTTCAAGGTAATGCAGGCCTGAAGGAAGGCGCCAGCTCCCTCCCTGCCCCTGGCTCTGCATATCTTCCCCTGGTCAGCAGTGTCTGGGGCCCTAAGTCTGGCTTAGTCTGACACAATATCATCTTCTGTGGAGGATGGGGTCACAGCCATCTTCTGTGGAGGATGGGCCCCGTCCCATCTCATACTGGGTCTTTTCTTGGTCTCTACAGACTGCCTAGACACCCTGTGGGCAATACAGGACCAAACCCAGGGACCTGTCCACAACATCACCTGGAAGTAAATGCCCAAGCCGTTTGGCCCTTTTGACCCAACCTGTGCTCTACAGGTGCCCTACCAGGAGCTAGGAGGCAAGACCCTGGTGATGGCCATCTATGACTTTGACCGATTCTCCAAACATGACATCATTGGAGAGGTGAAGGTGCCCATGAACACTGTGGACCTCGGCCAGCCCATCGAGGAATGGAGGGACCTGCAAGGCGGGGAGAAGGAGGAGGTAAGAGCAGAGAGGTCTGGCTCAGCAGAAGGGCACATGCTACCATCTGCCGGGGCTTGCTTCTCCGCATTAAGGGAAGAGCATAGATTTGGAGTCAGGCCTGCTGGGTTAAGATCCCAGCTCTTTGCTGCCTAGCTGTTGACCCCCAGAAAGCTGCTTAAACTCTGGCCCTAGTGTCTTCCCTTAGACTGTTTTTCTAGATAAGAATTAACTGCCTACACAAAGTGCCTGGTGTAGTGTCTGCTATTTGGCAGGCACTCAATTAAATAAGGGCATCTTCATTATTGTTTCTTTTAATGTTCTGCTGTTTCCTAGACTCTGTACCTAGGTTTTCTCACCAGAAAAAAATAGTCCTAATTCCATAGAATTCTCAGCATGGGGGCTATCGCACTCATTCCTCATTCTCCCCATCACTCCCATCCCAGACACTTTGCTGGCATTGGTCATTTGTCTTAGCCAGGCCCCTGGAGTTTCCTGCATTGTATTCAGCGGAGATGCAGGGATAAGGAAGGCAGCGGGTCTCCTGTAACTGGGGCCTACCCTGTGTCAGGGAAGAAGGCCCACACACCTGAAGGAGGATGTGTGTGACTGGTTGTTCTGGCTCCAGTGGCCCCATTCCTGAGAAACTAGCAGCTAGCAGAGACCTTGTATCAGGAGCTCTGAGGCCTCATCCTGCCCAGTGGCACACTGCTGTTTGAATCCACCAGTCTCAGTTTCTTGTTGGTCACAAATAATTCTTACCTTGTCTTCATAAAGAGTTTCAGGGACAATAATAAAAGAAAAGGGAAGCAAAGTGCTTTGAAAACAAAGTACTGCACATCATTCTGCAAACCCAATGGCTGATGGGAAAGGGAAGAGGCTCTCAAGATGCTTGGTTTGCTCCTTGCGTCCCTCCTTGACTTGTTGGGGCCTGTTGGTCCATTAGATCCCCCTATTGTAGCCTGTTCTCTGCCCACTTGAATGTCAGCTTCCTCAGGCCATGGCTACACTGCAGCATAGGGTCTGGGACAGAGGCCTGACGGACCTTCTAAGGAATCACAGGTGCAGGGACTAGTGACTGAGAGGGGTGGCCTTGTCTTGTTAGTCCTGGCAAAATGGGGGCACCCACACCAGAGGCTACAGAATAGCTGAGGTGACCTGAGGTCTGCTTCTCTCCCTGGGTAGCCAGAGAAACTGGGTGACATCTGCACTTCCCTGCGCTACGTGCCCACTGCTGGGAAGCTCACCGTCTGTATTCTGGAAGCCAAGAACCTCAAGAAGATGGATGTGGGAGGCCTGTCAGGTAATGCAGAACCTCTGGACGCCAGTGGGTGGCACCAGCTAGCCAGTTACCACCCTGAGCTTCCAGAGCTGACATCCATCCAGAGGAAAACTTTCCTGCTTGTAGGGGAGCCCTGCCTTCCCAGCCCCACCTTTCACCAAGGCTCCCTGTCCCCTTCTGAGTCACCTTCCCACTGTCCATTACCATTACCTGTGGGCCATGGAGAAGAAGATCAGAGAAATTTCATCCTCCAAATGAGTTAATGATTCGACTTTACTTCTAGAATGGGGAATGCTTTTCCAGAAGAGGCTGTAGCCTCTGCCAGCTCTGTCCTGGAATGAGACACTGGGCGTTTCAGATTTACCTGACAGCACATAGGGCTGTTTGGAGTGCTGGTGGGTGAAGCCTACTACTTTTACAGAGCCTTCTCATACAGCCCTGTATTTAGGCTGTGGCTCTGTCATTGACCCAGGATGTGACCTTGAGCCAGTCATTTCCCTTCTGTATCCTCTGATTTTCATCTGCAAGTGTAAGAGGATTGGATGGAGCCAGGATCAGGACTCAGCAGAAATGTTCCTTCCCTTTAATGCTTTTCTGTGCACTCCCTAGCCTGACACTTTCTGACGAGGCCTTTCCTAGGCTCAGAAGTTTCCCTATCTCCATGCACTAGGAATCTACAAGCAGTCAGGGGTGGTCCTTAATACCTTTTCCCACCCTTGAACTAGATGACTCCTGCTTTTTAGACTTCCTGTCCTTGCCTGTAGGCTTTCTGAAGGTCTGATGCCAGCAGGGTGGAAACCTGTCCTATCCCACAGTTGCCTGGGTATACAGGGAGGGCAGTGAGGGCTGATAAGCCTTGTGGGTTGGGACTCTCCCTGCAGACCCCTACGTGAAGATCCACCTGATGCAGAATGGCAAGAGGCTCAAGAAGAAGAAGACAACGGTGAAGAAGAAGACACTGAACCCCTATTTCAATGAATCCTTCAGCTTTGAGATCCCCTTCGAACAGATTCAGGTGTGCAAGTTCTGCGGGCCTCAGGCTCTGAGCTCCTCAAACAAGCATAGGGAGGTAGAGGGCAGCCACAGGACAGGCACGCAGGTGGGAAGTCTCTGGTCTGGAGAGGCTGGGGTGGGGACTCCTTCTAGGGCATTCTGCTGAAGGGTCTCCATTATCTGAGGAGATGAACACGAACTAATTTTAAAAAACTTATTGTTCCTTAAGGTCTTTGAGGTGTGTGTGTGTGTGTGTGTGTGTGTGTGTGTGTGTGTGTGTATGTAACAGCAGTGAGGTTGGCAGTGACAGAGAAAGGCCTCTTGGGAGCTACTCCCCAGTGGCTACATCTTGCCTTGGCCACCCTGACTCCCACTATGCTACTCCCACATCAGCTCCCATCTGTGCCTCTGACCCCTTCCTCTCCTTGCCCCCCCAACCCCCAGCCTTCTTGGCTCTTCCTCCCCTTCTTTCCTTCCTTTCCTTCCTTCCCTCCCATAAAAAAAAAATTCTGTGAATGTTCAGGATAAGATTTGGTTTTCACCACTTCCAGGCAGGATTGAGATCTGCATTTGGTAGGACAAGAAAGTCACTTTTGTGGGCTGAAAATCAGGTGTAGCCAGGGGTGTGTTTTGGAGTCTTGATTCTTCCTTCTTTGTAGTGAACTACCCTTCCACATCTCTGACTCCAGGAGGGCTGATGGGCAAGAGAACCAAGTGGATTTGGGGGTTGGAGCTGTCAGGTATGGCGGTATCTTCGATGTCTCTTCACAGGAGCAGGGAGCTAATGATGTGAACCCAAGAAGAATCTCCACTGTGGAGAAATTAAACTAGATATTAAGTGAAGTATATTGATCAGTCCAGACACCTAAGATTCACAGGTCTAAAACCAATGTGATGATTTCCTCCTGCACCAGCTTACCTAATCTGAATCCCATTTATTTTGGATTGAACCCAGGGCTTCGTGCATGCTAGATAAGTGCTCTGCCACTGAGCTGTGTACTCCGCCCTGGACTCTGTTAATCAATGAATGGCTTACTCAGCTACTCAGTGGTCTAAGGCAGAAACCTGGGCAGCATCTTAGAGCTCAAACCTGGGGTTTCTCATTTGTCCAGTATTCGTTCCTGCACATTTCCTAAGTGCCAGGTACTTGCTAGGGGCTTGGGAAGTGAGTGTGTAGAGGACACAGCTGTGGTAGTGGGAAACGGCTGGCATACAGGTGTGATGATGGCTTTAATAAGCATGGGGCAGGGCACTAGGAACAATTCAGCCCTGAATTCCTAGAAAAAGCTTTGTCCTAAAGGTTGAGTCTGAGTTCCTTGTAGTCAGGGGAGAAAGGCAATGTCTTGTCACCTCGGCAAATCCAACTATGTTAGTTACTCCTGTGTTGTTGTGACCTGACATAAATAACTTAAAGGGAGGAATTATTTTGGCCTTGGTCAGTAGTCAGTTCTTTCCAGGTCAGCTCTGTGTTTCTGAGCCTGCTGGGAGGCAGAACATCACCACAATGGGAGATTGTAGAGAAGACTTTTCATCCCATGGTAGACAGGAGGCAGAAAGTAATGGAGAGGTCTGAGACAAGATAGAGCCCCAAAGATATGTCCACAATGGCCTACTTCCTTCAGCCAGGCCCTACCTAAAGTTTCCAAGCCCCCCCCCAATAGCACCACCAGCTGAGAACTGAGTTCTGAGCCTGTGTGTTGGCATTGCCTACTCAAATTATAACACCAACTTATCTTGATTCCATGCTCCAAATACTTCTCCAATCTGGCCCCAACCTCCTGTCTGAGTTCCTCAGTATATGCCGTCCCAGACCTCCAGCAATGGGTCTCTTCCTTGCTCTGAGTTCCATTCTTCCTCCAGTGAATCTTCTATCTCTAAAATACCCATGTCATGCCTCTCTTAAGTCTTCAGGAGGAGCTGGGGAGATGGATCAGTTAGTAAAGTGCTTGCCATACAAGCACGAGGACCTGGGTTTGAGCCTCAGCACCCACATAAAACAAAAGCCAGTGTAGCAGTGAGCACCTGTAATCCCAGACCTGGGGAAGCAGAGACAGGATGCTCACTGGCCAGCCAATCTAGCAGAATCGGTGAGCTCCAGGTTCAGTGAGAGACCCTGTCTCCAAAAATATGATGGAAAGTGATAGAGGTAGGCCTCTGTCCTCCATGCAAATGTGTACGTGCACACACACAATACACACACACACACACACACACACACGCACACACACGCACGCACGCACTCATGCACGCACACACGTTGCAAGCATGTCTTAAGGAGCTGCCTCCTGCTTGTCAGAGGCTAAAAGGTAAATTCCTTAGCCTGCTCTACCCTTCACTGACCTCACTGCTTCTTATGTTGCCTGGTCTCTAGATGCATTGTTGTCTCCGTGGCCCTACCCAGCCCTTTCTTGGAATCTCCTTCCCTTTTGTGTCCTCCAAGAGATGTCCACAGCCCTCACTTCCCAGTCCAGAGGTTACCTCCTCTGTGAAGCCTTTTTTTCAGACCCAGCAGAACTCTCCTTGAGTCTGTGTAGTACCTTGCACTTACCTGTGAAGTATAACCTTTATTATGGTGTGCTGCAAGGTTTTATGTGTCCACTGGCCTCATTAGAGGTAAAATATCTTTTCACTCCTCCTCAACAAGGTAGCACAGTGCCTACAGCGTCACACTTGCTTGATATATATGCCTGTTGGTAGAAATACAAGTTGCCTTAAAAAAAAAAAGTGATATCCACCTCCATGTAAATTCAGAACTAGTTGGATCCAGAGATGGAAGGAAGAAACCTGAGGCCTTTCCTGGCTAGCATTCGCAGGACTGACAGAGGTGTGCATTCTGTCGTGGATTCCCACTTCTCCTCCCAATTCCTTCCTTACTTTGTTTTCCTTGCAGAAAGTCCAGGTTGTGGTCACTGTGCTGGACTATGACAAACTGGGCAAGAATGAAGCCATTGGCAAGATCTTTGTGGGCAGCAACGCCACGGGCACAGAGCTTCGGCACTGGTCTGACATGCTGGCCAACCCTCGGAGGCCCATTGCCCAGTGGCACTCACTTAAGCCGGAGGAGGAAGTGGATGCACTTCTGGGCAAGAATAAGTAGACGGCAGCAACTGGGACCACAAGTCCTTCACAGACACTGACAAGATCCAGAGCTATCAATACCTCAGTTATGCAACCTTAGAGGTGTTTTTGTTTTGTTTCTTCATTTGTTTGTGGTGTGTCCTTGTTTTTCTTTCATTTTTCTCTTTTTAAAGGCCAACTTCCCTTTGATGGCTACATGAGGAGAGTCCCCTAAGAGGTGAAAGAGAAACCTGGCTCTGTTCATTGTCCCAGGAGCTATCCTTGCTGCATGCCCTATCACGTTTCTACTCACTCTCTCAAAGCTTCACACGAGCCTCACCCAGAGTAAGGCCCTCTCCTACCAGAAAGTTGAAGAAGTTCCTGGTTTTTGTGGGTTCTGGACCAACAAAATAGCAGCACATTCTGTTTCCTAATGAGAGAGAGAAAGACAGACAGAGAGAGAGAGAGAGAGAGAGAGAGAGAGAGCAAGAGAGAGAGAGAGAGAGAGAGCGAGTGCATTTGTGGCCTCCCCGTCTGTCTCTGAGTGCATTCCCAGAATGAGCTATGGACAGTGGGACAGTGAAGCTGTGTAAGAAGAGAAAGCTCGTGGACTCCAAGGTGAAGAAAGACGACTGCCTAAGTGGGAGGTCTGTCAGCTTGTGGAGAAGGCCCGAAACCCTGGTGAGATGCCAGACCTTCTCATATTCTTTGTGAGTGGCTCTCTGGGAGGCAGCAAGATGTGAATCCAAATCCAAAAACTAGGATCTAAATCCTTGATGTCATCAAGACTTCCTCTTGTCAGTTGGTTTCCTCAGAAGTGGGATTTGCGGGACATTTGTGGAAATAAACTATTCATTATATTGGTCAGCCATCAGGGACTGTCAGCCCTAGGATCTCACTTACTGACAGTGAATATCAAGATATGAAGAAACAGAAGTCCTGTTACTCAGAAAGCCTAAAATTAAACTCTTGGATCTTTGCCTTGTCCAGTGGGAACAGATGCTTTCTTCCTCTCCAGAACACAGACCACGCAATTCATTTGCATTTACTCACCATCCTGCTTTTGCTTCTGTTTCTCTTTTCATGCGAGTGGAAAAACACTGTTTAAAGACAGGTTATCTGTGCAGACCCAGAGAACTTTAAGAGGAAGGCTTAAATGTTTAGTTCCTTTGAGGTCTAGGTAAGAAGGAAGTGGTGAGAAGGGGAGGATGGATGAATGAGAGAGATGGGAGTTCTGTGTTCCTCCCAGCACTCCTTACTCCCTGGACCTTCTGTCCTCCATGCTGGAGGGCTTATTGATAGTTGGAGAGGCCCAGGGAGACCTGTGATGAGGCCCCAGCCTTCTATTCATTAGAGATACTTCTCTCTGAATGCCTGAAAATGGGTGGAAGGAGAGGCCTGTTTGGGTTCTACCCCATGTTCAGTCTGGGCCATTCTCTACTCACCATTTGTCCCCAGCATTGATAAAAAGCCATATATATGTTAGTCAAGTTGCACTGAGTACCCTTCCAAACCTTCAGCTTGGGCATGAAAGTTAGGCCCCATGTGGCCAGAGGCTACTCCTTCCTTGGCCTCTTCTCCTATCATTGAAACTCTCAGGCCCTGGCTATTTCCTTACCATAGAGAATTCATAGCCCGAAGCCCAGGAATCACTCTCTTCTACAGCAAATATGGCAGCACTTCTGCCCTGCCCCATCTGGGCCTCTTCAGCTTCCTGTAGGTACCCGAGAGACAAATGGTGTTGGAGAGTCAGGCTTTGAGGACCCAGCAGGAGGAAGGTGCAGAGTCCTTCTGTTCTATTGAAATGGGGGATATTTGGTTTTGCTTTGCCTTGTGTTTTGGTTGAGTGGAGTGAGGTAACACCTCTACCAGACACGGGTTGTGAAGCAATGCCTGGCCTGCCACTCTTTAGCAACCTTCTTCCTGCTATTGGCCCTTAGCACATGAGAAGTTGTATATTTTATACACTGTGTATATTTGTACTGAATGAGAAGGTAGGACTCTGATAAGATTGTGTGTTGTATGTAGTCCTTGGGACCACGTTATAATCATGATAGAGAGTATAGGACAACAGGGTACACTCAAAGTCCAGGTTGCTGAGTATCAGGGCCCTGGTATGGACATCAGAAATCACTGGACTCTTCCTCTATCCCCAGAGTTGTGGGATTTTGGTGCTTTCTCAGGGTCCCTCCCCACATGGGCTCTCCTCATCCACATTCCATAAACCTCATTCATAGAAGCTACCCTGTCAGTCTCACCTCTCTTTATGCCTTCTTCCACCCTTTCCCAATCCACTTTGTAACTCTCTGGGATGCTTCTGCCCACAAACTTCCTTCATCCTTCCAGAGCCCATGATTTACTACTGCCCTGACAGAGGAGGGAAGGGAATGTTAGGAGTCTCTGTGGTTTGTGTGTCCCTGGACTTGGAGATAGGCTAGAGCTCATTACTCTGGGCAGTCTTCCAGGGTGGGGACAGCTTGCTGAGACTTTGACTCTGAGCACCAGTGTGGAGCCAGGGAGGGTGCTGGGAGTAGCTCTTCCCCAGGCCCAGGGCTGGTCCTGACTAGCCACCCAAGAAGATGGTACCTGTCCAGGTCCAGGGGCTAGGTGGGAACATGCTGAGGTTTAAGTTTTCTGCACTGGGGTCTGATGTAACACAAACCATAGAGCATCATTCCAAACCCTCACTGCCACATGGGTTTATTTCTGGGGATACCAGGGTCCTGGGGTGTTGGCACTAAGCAGGCTAGGTAGTCAGGGTGTTTGGCTAGTGAGGGATCCTGGATGAGCCTTTGGAGCTGGGTGTTTTCATCCAAAGTGTGTCCCAGAGAGAGGAAAGAACTTAGTAGAGGTGATTTTTTTTTTTTAACAGCAAGTTTGAGATCATGAAAACCCAAACCTGATCCCACTCAGAAACTGGGGTGAGCTAGCAGCTCTGTATTCTTGCTGAAAGATCCTCCCAGCTCTGCAGTACTCTGGGCAGTTTTTGAGCCCATGGAAACAGGCTGAGGCCTGGGGAGCCCCAAACTGTGAGCAGGTGCTTGACATGAGGAGAAAGAAGCAGGCATGAGGCCCCAATTTGAGATCCTGGTCTTCCTTCCCAGGAAATCAACACATAGCTTATATCTCTGCAGAACTGGTTTGGGATGATTTTGCTGGTCTAAGCTTCAGTGAGAGAGGGGGTCACTTCAGCACTCCTTTGTATAAAGCCAGCTTTTGTAAAGATGTCTCCATGCAATAGGTGGAGTGGGTGATAATTGTAGAGAGGGAGAAATCCCTTTAATGCTGTAGGCCAGGTCTCTCGACCCCTATTGTCACCATCCCCTAAGGTAGGAAGAAACTGACCTTCCTCCCTATCCTCCACTTGCCCCTTTCCCTGACTCCCTCCCACTGTAAGGCTGGTTGGGGCATTTCTCAGAGCCACGGGTAGTAGCAGGTGGAGAAGTATCCCAAGTCCTGATCCTGGTGGCCCAGAGCCCCATAATGGTTGCTAGATTTGGCAAATAAAAATACTGGATGCCTGGTCGGTTAAACATGAATTTCATATGAACAACAAATAATTTTGAAGTATAAGTATGTCTAGCCAACATTTGTGGCATACTATACCAAATAGTGATTCATTGTTCAATCTGAAATTCAGATTTAATCGGTCATCCTGTATTTTGTCTGCAACCTACCCTGTGACTACTACATCCCTCTCTTCTTCAGTCCCAGGGGCCAGAGGTTGGTTACCATAGGTTTGATTAATCTGTTTTTTGAACTGCATTATTAATAAGGGGACACTGTGACTTGAAGATACATGAATATACTTTATTTTTTAAGCAACAACAAAACAAGAAACTTCTGAAGCCATTGAGCCTCATCTGCCCCCTCCACGTGCATTTAGTTATATATAAAAGAAATCGCTATCTATAAACATATGAGCAGAATCTTGTTTAAGCAAGATGCATGTCTGTAACTCTGTAAATAGCCGCATGGCAATGCTGAGAGTCCCCTTGATCTCCCTACCCATTTTATAGAACTGGCTGTGTAAAGTCTTTGTCCCCATCCCCTCCCCATCTTACTGGGAATGTCAGCAGTGGGAGCCATTGGGCTGGGAGTAGGGTTCTGGCCCCAGTACCAGCCCTGCCCTGGGAAGATGCTGGAGGACACTGTGGCCCTAAGGGCAGGTTGGCTGCATGTCTGTCTGCAGGGCCAACCCTTGGGACATAGTGTACTGTGTCTAGCCTGGCGTCTAGTGTCCTGTTTGTTGTTTATGTGTCCCATGTGTATGGTGTAGTTCCTTTCTTCCCACTGTCTTGAATTAACTGAAAAGCCATAAAGGGGCCTCCTACTGGAGGCTGCCCTTAGACTCCTCCCAGGAGACCCAGTGTCCCTTCAACTGGCTCCCCACAGAACATTTGTGAAGGGCTCACCTGTCCTTTACTCCCTCTTGTTTCCTCAGCCCTGTGTTATGAGGACAGATGGTGTCCAGGGCTTCTGGTGGGGTCTCAGAAGATCTGCCTGGCTGGTCTTCTTGGCCCAGGTCTGATGGTGGGACTCCTCTCCACCCTGGGTATGGGTAGGGCAGGGGTGGTGACCCTGTGGTTTTATGTACCATCTTGGGGGCTTTCAGGAGCAGTCGGTAGCTAGGTCTGAAGTTAGGTTCTCAGCAGCCACCTGGGATTGACAGGACCAGCCCTGCCTGCTTACTCTTGAACTGTCAGGGCCCATGGATGGCAATGGACGAGGGACCCACAGGAAAAAACCCAGGACCACAATGGGTTAAGCTCTACACTCACACTCCCTCCTGCAATGTGGCAGCATCACAAGAGCAGGGTGGCCCTGAGAGCTGGGGGCAGGGGGCAGGTGTGGTGGCGCAGGATGACTCAGAACCAGGTTCTGGAGCACCAGGTTCTGGAGCACCAGGTTCTGGAGCACTAGGTTCTGACCTTCACATTGGCTCCCAGAGCACCCTCAGCGAGTTTTCCAAGTAGAAGCCAGGTGGGCAGACAGAACTGGAGCCTCCAAAGTCTCCAGTCATGGTGTGCTGCATCCCTGGACACCCACAGGACTCCCGGGAGGGCAGTTATGTATGTGACTAAGCCAGGAGACCTCAGGAAGAACTTGAGAATCAGGCAGGTACATTAGACAATGCCAGAGGCAGCAAGGTGGACTCTGCCATTTACAAACCATGATGCTTGAGCACATGCAAGTCCCAGGGACCTTTGTGCTGAGGAAATAAAGCACAGGGAAAGTGACGGGGACCATTGCAGTGCAGACTGGGGTTAGCACTGGAGCCCTCCCACAGTCTGCACATGGAAATCAGGAACAGTGTGTAGGCATTGGGGTTTCATCCTGCTTTCCTCAGCAGTCAGGACTTTAGGGGAATAACCTAGAAGCCTGACCACCCTGCCCTGACTCCTGCTCATCTATGGATGCTATTTACTGCTTTCTGAAAACCCTGGGGCCAGAAACTTTCAAACTAGGGTTGGGGCAGAGCCTAACCTGGCCCATGTCACCCCTGGAATGCGCTGGCCCCACCAGGAGCCCTCCCTGTCTTCATAGAAGGATAGTGTAGCCCTCCCTGTCCCCCTGCTTGGCAATGCTCTCCACTCCCTCATGTGGACTCTGTTCTTGTCTGATCTCTTGTCAAATTGTTATTTTGTAATGAGCTGCGACTCCTTATTAAAGAAAAGAGCTGAAAGAAACCTGGGGGTGGGGAGCATCTCTACTTGTTTTAACTGGGCAAAGGGGAGGGCGGTGGGAGGCAGGCTCTGTCCCTGAGGGTCAGCATGCGGGTGTGAGCTGGTACTGAGGGTGGGTCTCTAGCCCAGCATGAAGGGTCAGCCCATTCTCTTCTGGGTTTAAGGAAGGGCGGGATGGGCCTCCTGGTTGATGACAGGCACGCAGCACCTCCTGATAGAGGTTATGCCAACGTATGATGACCCCTGTGCTTAGGGCTACTCTCTGGGGAGGCCAAGGGCTGGCCCACACCCTTAAATAAGCTCTCTCCAGAAGATCTGTGCTTAGGGGATGGCCACAGTCTGATGCCCAGAGTGTGGATGTTTTAAAAATGGGAACAACAAAGTCTCAAATCTCCCCATTGCAAAGGAGGCTGTATGTCTTTGAGTTAGAGGCAAAGATATTAGGGACCTTATCATTGTAAGGCTTCAGATGCTTAGGGGTTGAGCATGGGGCAGTATAGCCAAGACCAGGAAAGTGTTACACTCCTTTTCCATTCCCAGTTCCACAGGCAGGTCAGGTATCATTCTGTCACTTCCACTGCATGACCCTTGTCTAGGACCACCACGCACTAGACTTGTGCTTCCTGTCAAGTCCAGATGGACAAGGAGCAGTGAAGGCAGGCGGAGCAGAGCTTAAGCTAGCAGGAGACTGCGCCTGGCAGCTTCAGTCCTGGAGGCCCCAGGCTGGGTGGCCTGGTTGCACAGGTCTAGCTGAGAATGTGGGAATCTTGCTCTGCAGGGGAGGCTGTGTACATCTTCCCTCTCCGGGAGGGTTGGTCCCCAAGACCACTAGATGACAATGTCTTTAGACCTCACTCAGCCAGTGGGGGACCCTGAGAGAAATGACATTTCTGGTCTAGGAGCTCCTTGAGTCAGACTTGCTTCTTTGCCTCCCTTCCAGGCCCCCAGGACAGGTCTGAACTCTTCAACCATGACGTCATGTGTGTTTCTTCTGTTGCTGTGTGAGCTACAAACAGCTGGGTGACAGCAGGGGAAAAGAATCTTCCCTCCCTAACCTCCCTCCCAAGTCAGTGGCCAAGGATTTCCACTTGGCAGAAAGCAGGGCTGAATAGCGCCAGGCTGGGCTTGCTGCATGGAGAAAGCAGACCTAGCCTAGGCAGGCCCTGCCTGTGGCCTGTGCAGCAACTCCCTGGGCTGGGCTCCTTCAGTCGCCATTTGGATTCACCCTCTAATGACCCCAGAGTTAGCTTCATTTATAGTTTGGAAGTAAGGAGTGGTTTGGATCTTGAGTCAAGGACCTAAGGAAACCCCTTCTACACACAGTAGAAGACTGAAGGATGGTGCTGGGAGCCTGTAAATCACCAGCTCTCTGGATCCCAACTTCCCAATGTAGGATGGTGTTGGTGTACATGGAGGCAGGCTCAGCACCTTGTCATGCATCCCTGCTTTCTGCCTTCAAAGAAAGCCACTCACAGTTAATGTGAACTGTGGCTTTTTTTTTCCTCCCTCAAACTTTCAAGGTTGGCTAATCAATCTAGAAAACCTGTTGATGCTCCCAGAGACCGTCCCCAGGGGTATGGCTACAAACTTGTGGCTGTCCACGGCAGAGAGACCTCTCTAAGTCAGTGGGAACCATTGAGGGCTGCTGGGCAGGGATCCCACAGAGGCCTTCATAAATGTGATATTCTGTCAATCTCATGGCACAAAGTTAAAACAGTTTTATTTACTCATTTATAAATACTGTTGTGTTTACAAGCATCATAGAGATGTGAATATTATTCCCAAACTTTCAAACACAGAATACTTAATACTATATAATAACAACCAGTAAAACAAAAATCATCCATCTCAGGGTTGAAAGGCCACTCAAAATTGCATAAAAATACATTCAGTTCACAAAGTGAGTCTGGCTTCCCTTCCCTCAGAACCCTCCCCCAGGTGTATTTACAATGGACTGGAGTTAATCCATACAACTCAGCTGAAAACAGTTCCATCTGGTGCATTAAATGTGATAGAAGAGTGAAGGGTGGAGAGAGTAAAGACAAAATGCTAGTACTAAAATGGTGATCAGGGTCAGGGCAGAGGAAGCATGATCATAGTGAGGAAACCATAAAGCCAAAGCCAGGGTCTGAACCATTCAATTGAGAACAGGCCATGTCTTCTCCCACCAGATGCAGGCAGGGGTGCAGCACATTCCTCCTCTCTTCAGGGAAATCGAGGCCTTCCTTGAGGTGCCAGCTGGGTGGGGGTCTGACCTTCCAAGGATCCAACCAGGAAGGGATCATGTTGAATAGGCACATCCTCCTAGAGCCCTCTTTCTCCTATACCTGCCTCTTTGTGCCCTTATCTACAACTGCTCTTTACCTGGCCTCTCCCATCATAGGATAAACTAGAATCTGCTTGAGGTCTCAGGAGAGTAGGAGTAAGAACTGTATAGACACACTTTGGAGACAGTCAAGCTGGTGCTGGCCCCTGAGTGTCCTTTGTTCAGGATCCATGCTCTGATCCCCAGCTCTGAGTTCAAGAGCATGTCAGTGGCTCTTAAACTCCTAACCATCAGTGAGCCTTTAGTGGATCTTCTCTCCTGCCAGGGTGGAATGAATGGGCTGAGTGACTGTCACCTAGTATACCAACTTACTGGTTCAGTTTGTGCTGTCCTTCTACCTTGAGCTGTAACCAGTCACACTTCTCAAAAAGATGGAATAAGCCAGACATGCTACCATAGCACAAAGCCAGGCTCTAGAGAAATCATCCAGACGTACAAGTCAGACCTTGTCTCTGAGGGGCCATTAGGACAGTCAGGGAGCTCTGCAAGCAGAAGAGGGGTAGGGGGATGCAGTTGGTATCTGGAAATCCTCCAGGAATCTTGGTTGACTAGAAGAAAACCTCTTCTTTCAAGCACCATCAGGTCCAAGAGTAGAAGCAAGGCATGAAGAATGCAGAGGGATGAGGGAAATGGGGGAAGGGATGCTTGTTTTGGAAGGACATAAGAGAATCTTAATACACCTTAAGGGGCCACCCAAGAAAAAATTTATTGGCAGCATTAGGGGAAAATTTAGAGGAGAAATAACAAAATGTCGCCTCAACAGATTCAAAGTCCAAAGATAAGCAGATGTGTGGGAAACTGGGAGTCAGAAGAACAAAAGACACCAACAAAACACTACACTTGGATAAAATTGGTTTCTGACTTCTTACTTCTAACCAGGAAAGTGCCAGACCTCATTTTGAAAGCTTCAGGTTGGCAAATTCATGTTTACAGACAGTCCTTCAGTTGTACTGTCTTCTTGGGTGAGGCCAGAACATGCATCAGTGCCACAGGCTCTAGATGTTCCCTCCTTTTTCTGCCATCTAGCCACAGCAGGCTTCCAGACACTGGCTTGCAAGCACACCTCAGGCCAGTTGTGGCCCTCAACCACAGCTCAAGGATATGTGGGTGCAACTTCACCCAATGTCTGACTGGTTGAGTGTCCGCTTGTTTATCCTGAGCCCTCAGAGACCACCTCACTCCTTCGTAGCTGTGACAATAACAGCTCTGGAGCTAGAATGAAGTTGATTTTCCAATCTAATCAGAACACTAGCAATCGATAGCTGTCCCTGATAGGGTTGACTGCTCCTGAGCAGTGGCAATACCCATTAAGGAAGCTGATTAAGATCTCTGCTCAGCTGGAGCTCTTAGGATAAAGTTAGTGAAACAGAACTCACTTCCCTCTCCTGAAGCCCAAGAGCTTCCTTCCTCTCATCACTTGCAACCTCCATCCTGCTCCACATTCACAGCCACTGCCCTCTGCCTTTTACCCACCACAGCATGCAGGTCATCCACTTCCTCACATTCAAACCCAGGATGCACCAGTCTGGCCAGAGCTGGGCACAATTCTATGCAATGTAGCTGAGGGGTCTGTGAACATCTACCGCTTTCATAGTCCCTTCTGTGGATTTGTGTTCAATGAAGGCATGTTAAAGAGCACCAGAACCTTCTACTTCTGAGAACTTAGCACCCAGAGGAAGCGCTCTGTTGAAGTAAGGACAGGTTTTTACTGAGGAAAATTCTCTTGCTGTTCAAGGCAGAAATCAAGATTAGGAACAAGCTAGTGCTAACCAGAAATACAATTAGTCTGCTCTTTGGGTACTGAGAGCCAGTGCAGACCGCATTTAAGAAAGTTGAGGGGAAGAGGCTGAAGAAACCTGCAAAGCAGCATCTCCATTTCCCATTATGATGATTTGTCCAAGGGCTGCCTGCAGCAAACTGCTTTCTATCCATTTTCCCACAAGCTCTAATTTCCACCTCTGCAGGTTTAATATTTCTTACCAAACCATTAGGAGGGAAAGCAATTGCAACACTATTCAATTACCCTCAATATTAAACTCACTTTCCAACAAGGATGAGAAGTCAACCTTGACATGCTGTTGTTAAACAGTTTGAGTGGAAGAAAACAAGAGTTTTGGGTCTTGAATTTTTTAACTTAAAAGGAAGTTTTGAAGGAGAAATTCCAAGTATAATCAGTGTTCTGATGCCAGGTGTGGTGGCTCATGCCTTTAATCCCAGCACTTGGGAGGCAGAGGCAGGTGGATCTCTTGTGAGTCTTGTGAGTTCAAGGCCAGCTGGGGCTACAGGGAGACCCTATTTCAAAAAAAAAAAGTGTTCTGCTCTTTCTAAAAATTAATCACAGGACTTTAAAGATTATCTTGCCCAAGGTCACAGCTAAATAGAAGTTGGTCCTGGATCCCCCAGTATGCACCTTATCCTGTTCTCAAAGCTGCCTTACTTCCTGGGTCAGGGGAACCCACATTTTTTGAGGGTTCATACCTGCATTCAGAATCAAATGGAAACTATGACACTATAATTGGGCCTGGATTTGAGCAGGGCCAACCTCTGATAAAGGTGTGCAAAGAACAGGGCTGGAGTCTGGGTGGTCTTGAGAGGACACAGGGCTCCTACAGAACTGCTTTAGTGAGGCTACAGTGGAACCTGTGGCTCACCTGGAGGGTGGAACTAGTCATTATCCCTCCTAGCTGGTCTACCTGCTGAATCCTTTAGGCTTTCCCTTTAAGGTGCACAACAGTCTGGAAGCAGCTGGCAACACTTCCCACAGTCCTGTCTTCTTCGGGCTTCTGCTCACTCTAGGCCCACTGCCTAATGAGTGCTGGCCCTATCAGGACCTTCTGCACAGCAGCCTACACAGAAACACTGGCCTTCTGCTGAGAGGATACAGTTGTCTATGGCAAGAGGATACAAAGAGGCTAGGCATCAGAGTCCTAGCAGAGTGTATGTCTATGAGTGTTCCTTCTTTCACTCTGGCTCAGTGAAGTGTTTCTGGTGGAGAAATCGCAAGTAGTTCATATATACTTCTTTAGGACTCACAGATTGCTAGCCTCTGTGCTTCCTGAGTGGAACCCAGTGACCTTGGTGGTCTCAAAGAACACACGCAGCTAGAGGGATGAGGGCTGGGATAGAGCCTGGGAAAGTGGATGAGGAGCAAACACATCCCACCTTTGGACAGACAGGGAGATTTTATGTAATGCAAATGAGACCAGCCCAGTTGAGAATGTAGTGAATTTAGTGGGCCCAAAATAGATCTGTTCTTCAGATTCTTTGGAGACTATCCCCTGAGATGTGCATAACCCTTCCCCTAGAGACTGGGATGGAGTTTGGAGTCATCACATGCTGGAGCTGTCTGAAAAGGCTCAGAAGTGCCTGAAAAACAAAATGGCAAACTCCATCCAGAGACCCTCTGAACAGCCCAGTCATTACTCCCAAAGGCATGGATATTGTAAGATATCAAATGAGGAGGGTATGGCACTGTACTGAGAACATTTTCTTCCCCATTTAAACCCCTCACGAAGACTAGAATGAGGGTAAGCCCTGTATGGCTGGCAGCTTGTAGCTGGTTCTCTCTGCTTGAAGTGCCAGATTACTCACAAGTACCAAGCCAATGGTGAGAAAGGGGTCAGTGGCCACTGGGGAGACCTACCGTGTGCATCTAACCAAGTAATACAAGAAAAGGAGACCTGGGGTTACCAGGACCCAGAGAACAGGTGGCTATCCACCACCTCATCAGTGCTTCCAGTCAATATGGTTGTAAAGAAATGGGGGTTTTCTTCTCTGGAAGAGACCACAATTCAGAATGTTTTCTATCTAATAAAATTAATGGCGTAAGGAAGAGCCTGAAATTACCTAGGATGGTTTGTTTATACTTTGAAGAGTTCTTGCTCACAGAACTCAGTATTTCTGAGACTGAAAAACTTGTTCTCATAAGAAAACTTTCTGGCAAGAGGCCATGCATAGCAGTAAGGTGTAATGCCCATTTGAGAGTTTTGAGAACCTGCCCCCATGCTTCAAAAGACACAAAGGGAGAGAACTCTGCAACACCTTTACCTGGTCTATGAAATGGAGGGGGCTCACAATGTTTCCTAAAATCCCATTTTCTTTTCCTGAGACAGAATCCCCTCTACCCCAATTAGTTGTTAGAGAATCAATCAGCTGATACCTTGTGACTTCCTCTCTGTAGCAAGAAAGAAAGGCTTATTACAACAGATGAGGAACTTCTCATTGTAATTTATAATTCCAGATCTGAGCTCTCAGTGCTCCATGATAACAGAGGCCCAAGAAAGCACATCAGAAAAGTGGGTAGAAACAGGTAAGAGAATCTGGCATGTGCTACAAGTGGGATTTTGTTAGAGGAGACATGGCTCCTATGCTGTTACAGACCCTGAATTACAGCTTCTGGTTTAAGAGCACATGAACTTTGCAAGGGCCATGGAGAATGATGGGGCCATTTTCATAAGAGAAACTAACAGAGGTAGTGTATCTTAAAGAGAATGGTCCACACCCAACACTGAGTATGACTGGAAACTCCAAAATAATGAAGCTTTAAATGACCTGCCCTCTAAAATGAACCAAGGGATAAAGTTCCTACAAAAAGCAAACACCATACCCACTTATACCAAGACATCCCAGAGAACTATTAGCTTAACTGCATGCTAGAATTATGGAATAGGTTAGGGCATGATAGTCTAAAGGGCTATTTTTGTCCTGAGGATAGTGGCCAAGGTTTGATAGGCATGGAAAGCATGCCATCTGAGGAGCAACTCAAGGGACTAGGGAAGGGGAGTCTGCCAACCACCCCTGTCTAACAGGCTGTCATAGCAGGCAGACCTCAGCTTGTATTACCAAAAACTGGTTACTAAAGTTGCCCAACCTTCCAGTAATAAATGCATAGCCACCAGAGGCAGACCATGTATCAAAACTGTGGCAGCAGGAAGGGATGCCTATGACATAAGGAAGCTAGGCCAGATGACCTTTGGACCTTGCCACTCTAAGATCCTGTGACTTTTGTCATCAGCTGAAAGTACTTCATCCTTTTCAATCTCTATCAAACAGTTATTTCTCCCGTCAGCTTCTAAGGCAAATGTCTCTCCCCTAAATGTAACCACCAGAAACAAACACACCACCGTTTTCACAGCATATACAGTGTTCCAAGTGTTTTCAGAGACTCTCTTCTTATCTTTCCATACAGCTTCCACTCTCTAGTCCCATCTCCAACAACTCCTTACCCTCCCATGCCTCCCTGTAATGATTCCATTCCTCAATAGCAATAGGTTTCACAGTGGAGAGGAAAACAAAGCCAAAGGAAGCAAGGTGAGTGCAGTATTTAGAGCCCAGATCTCCTTTCCCTGATAGAGAGGGTCTCACTGTGTAGCTGGCTTCAAACTCATGATCTTCCTGCCTCAGCTTCCTGAGAGCTGGGATTACTGGTGTGTGCCACTATGTCTGACTCCAAAAGTCCAGGTTTTCTAATAAAGTCACTTTGCAAGCAGACAAGTGGGAGATGTGAACAATGGAGTGACATTTATGCCATCTTCTAGCTTTTCAGGGGCAGGGGCCATGGCACCAAGGCACCAGAGTGATGGTTTCCCATAATGGCCAAAGACAACTGCGGTCACAAGCTCTGTTTCAGCTTTTATACCATCAGGTTGGGAAGGAAAAAACAAAGGGGTAAAAGGAGCAAGTGAGGTCAGGGCCATCTACGCCTTAAAGAAAGGGAGGAGTAGGGTTAAGACTAGGCAGGGATGTTATTGAGCTACTGACAGAGAAAATAAAAATGAATCAGTTCCTGAGAGGTGAAGAATACAGAGTCTCAGTACAGAGTCACAGTCACCCTGGACTCCAAGCAAAGTGCTCCAGAGGCAGTCCACAGAGCAATTCTACATCCTGCCCTTTCTCTTGGCACAGGATCCTGGAGTGGCACCACAAGACTCATCTATACTAGAGGACAGTAGGTCAGTATAAAGGCTATGGATCAAAGCCTTACATATTTGGACCAAAACCAATGTGGACAAAGCAGCAGGAAGTTGGGAGGTCCACAGCTGAGCTTGGTGTACTGCATAGGCCTTCTCCAAATGGCTTGAATGATTACCACCATGCTTCCATTGAAACTGTCATAAAACTTGGGGTAGGAGTGTGGGAGCAACAGGACACTGAGAGTGCAGAGAAAATGTACAGTGTAGAGGAGGTGACTGAAGGGGATCAGAAAGACGTGTCCTTCCTCCCAAACATTCACTTCTTTTGGCTGGAAGGCCATGGCTGGAAAAGAAGGGCAGGGCAGCAAATGCTATCCCCCCTCCTAGATCTGAACCTCCTTTATTTGGACAGTTTGCTGATGACTCTGATGAGGGCACCATTTTCATCCTTCAGCCTCTGGTTGTCAGATTTCAGTTCTGTTAACACCTGTGGTGACAAAGGAACGATGTGTTAGAGCCTGGCACAATCACCTTCTGTACTCTCCAGGCCAGCAGACGAGCAGGCCTCCCAAGACAGCATGTCTGATAAGTTGTCACCACCATTTTTCTCAGAGCTGAATCCCCTTGAATTTTCCTATTTATTGGGTTGGTAATGGAAATATTTAGGGAGACTGTAGCCCCTCATATTTTGAAGCTGCTTCCTGTTCCAGCCTATCCTATTCTATAGAGCTGGTAGCTATTTGTTCTTGCCCTTGAACTCACTTCTAGCCTAGAGAAATTGGGGAGCATGCCGAAGTAGGCTGATAAGGACACAGGGAAGGAATGCAGAAAGGAGCCAGAGAGATGGTGACTCTAAAAGTTGAAGAGCACCACGTCACACCCCAGGAGAAACAGGCATGCAGGCTGTGGGGCAGAATTCGGCCTTCTGCTAGATGCCAAGATGTCTAAGGTCCTCCTCCTAATGCCTTTGGAGACAAAAGTCCACCCCAATTCTTGTTGACCATACTATATACACGAATTCACTCTCACCACGAGCACCCAGGGAACTCAGATAAGGTCAAGACATGAGGCCTTACCAGCAGTTTGGTGGATAGTGTTATAATTACAGTAAATAGATGCTTATTGAAAGAGGGAGAGAGTAGAGATTCAGTCTGTCAGTTCTGCCATCTTGGAACATGCTGCTCAACTCAGGGAACAAAGGAAAAGCAAGCTTCAGGTTGGACACCCAAGTCTTTATTATGTGAAAGAACTTTGACAGATATGTTACACGTCTGAAAAATCTTAATGAGTTCCAGTTTATGTGTGGGCCTTTCTGGTAGCAGGTTTAGAAGGTAGGTACACCTGCACAATGAAGGCTCTAGAAAGCTACATCTTCATTTTTCATGCAGATACCCTTCTTGCATTGATCAGTCATTTACACCTACAGGAACCACATGGCAGGCAAGGCCCCCAAAAGGGTAGCCTGGGCTCAGAAGTCATGAGGCTATTTAGTTCTAGCTTTTGACACTGCTACTAACTAGGGAGCCTAAAACACACCCAAAGGACTATGATCTTTGTTTTCTTAATCTTGCAAGGAAGATACAGGTACATAATAGAAGTATATGTGTGTGTGTGTGTGTGTGTGTGTGTGTGTGTGTGTGTGTGTTTACACATATGTGTATATACACATCACAGCCACACAACAGGGAACAAAGGGAAACAGTATCTACAGTGTGGGAGATCTTATTGCCCCTCAGAAACCTGTGCTGCAGCTGCTATCCTTATTTCTATAAATGAGGGAACAGTCTTCCATAACTAGTCCAGGGAACCCGGCTAGTTAAATGACAATGATGAACTTATACCCACATGTGCCCAAGTCCAAAGACCATTCCTTCATTACAGGTGGGGATGGAAAATTGTTCTAGTTTCTTTCTCCATTGCTGTGACAAAATACTCTGACCAAAACCAACTAGGAGAGGAAAGGGTTTATTTTATATTACATCTCCTGGGTCACTGTTCATCAGGGAGCCCAAGGTAGGAACTCAAGGCAGAAATGGTGGAAGCAGGAGCTGGAGCACAGGCCATGGAGGAATGCTGCTTACTGGTTTGCTCCCCTGGCCCCTGCTCAGTCTGCTTTCTTATGCAACACAGGCCCACCTGCCCAGGGGTAGCACCACCCACAGTGGGCTAGGTCCTCCTACATCACTCAGCCATCAAGATGCTCCAAAGACACTGCCACAGGCTAGTCCTATGGAGGCAATTCCCCAATTGAGGCTCCTTCAATCCAGGTGTGTAAAGTTGACACTGAAGCTATCCAGCACAATTGACCCCTTGTCAACTTGACACACAAACACATCACTATTAAACCATAACCTTTCCAATTCTTATTCCCAATATATGATGTTAGTATCAATATCAAAACATAAGACAGTACAACCTGAAAAGCCCCACAGTCCTTCAGTCTCTTTTAAAAGTCTCTTAACTGGGGGCTCCTGTCAAATCCAAAACAAGAACTCGTATTTCAAAGGGAAGAATCGGCCACACCTAAGCAAAACCAAGTCCAGCAAAGTAGCTCAAGGCTGGACCTCTGGGATTCACTCACAATCTTCTGGGCTCCAAAGGGTTCTGGAAGCTCCACTTCTCTGACTCTGCCGTCCACAGCACACTCAGCTCGTCTCACAGACCCAGGCCAGCTCCATTCCACAACCTACTGCTGTCCTTGGTGGTTGTCCCACGGTCCTGGCATCTCCAAAAAGCTGGGGTCTCCACTGAAACTGAGGCTACAGGTTCACCAATGGCCTCTTCTTGCCTCTTGGGGTGCAAAGCCTCAGATTCTCTCCATGACCCCTTCAATCCTGGGGTCACTGCAACTAAAGCTGCACCTTTACCTATGGCCTTTCCTGCTGCCAAGCCTCAGTTGTTCTCTGTGACCCCTTCACATTTTCAACACCAGAACCATGCAGGAAACTCTTACACATTAACAAGTCCTGCTTTCAACTAGAGATGGAGGCTCAGGTCCCCTCTCAACCACAGCTTCTGTGTGGAGACCGAGGAAATGCTTCCCAGAGGATTTCACCACCGTGATGCTGGTCTCTTGTTACTTACAGCTGATTTTTCAGCCCCAGCTAACCAGCATCAATTGTCTCAGCAAAGCTAAGGTTTTTACTTCAGGTTCTGGTCTCTTCTTCTTTTAATTTTCTTTTTTAAAATTATTTTTATTTTGGCCGGGTGTGGTGGTACATGCCTTTAATCCCAGCACTCGGGAGGCAGAGGCAGGTGGATCTCTGTGAGTTCAAGGCCAGCCTGGTCTACATAGTGAGTTCCAGGACAGCTGGGGCTACAGGGAGACCCTGTCTCAAAAAGGCCCCACAAAAATTATTTTTATTTTATGTGTATGCGTGTATTGCCTGAATATAAGTGCACCCATGTTGTGTGATGCCTGTGGAGGACAGAGAGGCTGTTGGATCCCCTGGAACTGGAGTTACAAATTGTTAGCCGCCATGTGGGTGCTGGGATTCAAACCCAGGTCTTCTGCAAGAACAGCCAATGTTCTTAACCACTGACCCATCTCTCCAGTCCTCTGGTCTCTTCTTAATCACTGCTGATTCTTCAGCCCCAGCTGACCAGAACCCACAGATTCTCAATTCAAAACATCACACAGACAGCACTGATAGTCTCTGCTTCCCTTAGAAGCTTCACAAGCCAGGCCTCCATTGTTCACAACTCTTTCAGCATAAGTGTTCCAAGCTCTACAGAAATAAACTCTGAGCCCTCAATGACTTTTCCAGCCCAAAGTTCCAAAGGTTTCCACAATCCTCCTACAAACACCAAGGTCAGGTCTGTCACAGTGATACTCCACTTCTGGTATGAATTTCTGTTCTAGTTTCTTTCTCCATTGCTGTGAGAAAATTCTCTGACCAAAACCAACTTGGGGAGGAAAGGGTTTACTCAGCTTACATCTCCTGGGTCACAGTTCATCAGGGAGTCCAAGGTAGGAACCCAGGGCAGAAACCTGGAGGCAGGAGCTGGAGCACAGACCATGGAGGAATGCTGCTTACTAGCTAGCTCCCTTGGCCCCTGCTCAGGCTGCTTTCTTATCCAACACAGGCCTACTTGCCCAGGGGTGGCACCACCCACATTACTCAACCCCCACATTACTCAACAATCAAGAAGATGCCCCATAGACATGGCCACAGGCCAGTCCTATGGAGGCAATTCCCCAACTGAGACTCCCTCAACCTAGGTGTGTCAAGCTGACACTAAAGCTATCCAGCACAAAAATGAAGCCTAAAAACTGTAGTAGCCCAGAAACAAATTCAGGCATCACCACCATCATTAATCATATTGCTTCAGGCAAATTACTTTTCTGCATGTCCATGTTTGTATCTATAAAAGAACTCTGCCCTATTCCCTACAAAGTAGGCCTCTGGGAGGCTGACAAGGTTAGCAGATGTGGTAGTACTGGTGTCTGTAATGGGCTTGGCAATACAGAGGACCCCTACAACCACTTTGTAGTTTTCCTATGAACATGGGAAGGCAAACTTAGTAAGACTTTGATCTAGAAAACAGCAAAGGAAAGTTTTTGTCTTTTGACCCTCTCTTTTCCTCCAAACTCAATTGAGGTAGCTCTGACTGGCCTCTTTCATGCCTCTGTCCTGTAGGGGCCTTGCCTATTAGAACTAAGTGCCATTTGCCCAGGGTAACTTCAGGATGTTTCTCTTTGCCAATGCTCCACCCTGGGGCCTGCAGCCTGGGTGGGATTCCACAGGTGTGAAGACACTGTGGCAATGGATGGCATCCCATTGCTTACCAGCTCCCAAATCAGGACGAGCTGCTTTTTGTTAAAGGTACAGTTTGTTGAATTCTGGTGTTTAGCTTTGTTTCAACATTAAGAACGCAATTCTTTGAGAAAAAAAGTTGGACAAGGCAATTTCACAGCTGCAACATCTTAAGGGAATGTCAAAAAGTGCCAGTGGAATGTAGCAATCAGGGAAGGCGAGCATATAAACTTCACTCTCAAAGAAAGGGGGAAGGGAGTGGTGTTATCTGACATTAACTGCTTGCTAATGGAGGACTAAATAAGAACACATGTGAAGGTCTATAGGCATGAGGCTTAACAGTATCACTTCAACTAGACTTCAGTTCTTATTTCCAGGTTACCAGTTTGATGTTAAGATACTTCAGACAAATGAAATTAAGTGCATGTTTTGTCAAGTATTACTTCTTATAGCCTATGATGAGGAGTGTGCTGAAGAGGGACATGGGGTCTTGAAGCTTCAGAGAGCCAGGGCAAAGCAGGCAGTGGGTGGGAGGGTCTCTGAGCTACACAGAAGTGGGAAGGGAGGCTTCCTTTCTCTACTGGAAGTGCTGGCCTACACTAAGAGCTAGAATGAGGATTTTCTAGGGGACTATTCAAAAGTGTCAGGGGAAGGGGCAAAATCTCTTCACTCTATTGACAGTTTGGTTTCATTATCCCAACTTTCCTGCTAGTAGGAGTCAGTTGACAAG